TCACTATTGTTTTCTAATTATTGTCTGGAAATGTACAAACTGTCATCAAATTATTATATCAATGGAATGGAACGAAGGAGAATACAAGTTATTGTTTGTTTGTTTTTTTCCCTCTTTCAAGGAACATGGAAGGCTTCGTCTTCGATCTTGATTCACATACGTCCTGTGTGTCTATCCCAAAAAAAGGAAAGAAAAAAAAACCACAATTGACGTAGTAATGCAAGTGAATTATTGTAGGGTGAAAATTAAGTGGAGATATTTATCCTCTAACAATTTAATCTTTGTAATTTGTAATTTTATAAATATATTTGTTCCCTAATCGATTTAGGGATCTATATATAATATATAAAAAAATTTAACAAAAAATTTCGCTATAGAAACTAAATTGTTATCAACTTTAAATTAAAAGATTAAATTATTACATTCAAGAACTAAACCGTTACCGATTTGAAAATGCATGAAGACTATAAAGTATAGAAATCAAAATTATTTTTTAATCTAAAAAAAAGTTGGTGATTCAAAATTTTCAGGTCTAGAAACTCAAAAGGTGTTTGTAAGTGGATATAAACCCACAGCATGCAAGCTGCAAAACAAAACCAAGGACGATTTTTTTTTCTCTTCTGCAAAGGTAGCAAGAATAATTTTGGGAGATGTCAGTGTGTTGGAGGCAATAAAAGAATGTAGGGGATTATTTAGAATGAAGAGACAAATATGGAGAAAAACTTTTAATATTGTGTTTTGACGCTTTCTTAATTTAAATTTCGGCTTTTCTTGATTACATAAAATGGGATAACACCTCAATTTATAGGTGTTTGAGAGAACTCTATGGAGAATTCTAAAAAGTCAGGGAGTTCTCTAAATACATATTAATTTATTTTTATCCAAAGGAATTCTCTAGAATTTCTTGGAACCTAGGAAAAAACTAGATAATTCTAAAGTCTTTTATTTACCTATTTATTTACAAACTTCTAAATAAATCTATAGATAACTACTTGTGTGGATAACTCTAGAAGTTTCTAGTATATATTTGGTGGGTGAAGTTCGTACAACTTTTTGCCATTTTGAAGATTAGTGAAGCCAAATTGTGGATTGAAAATAGAATCAACACCTTAATTAGTTCAGTGGGACCTGAAAATCAAAATCAAAATCTCGTTGATGTTGGCCTTGTGCTACTTCCCCCTCTTATAGCTTTGATGGGGCTCGATTGGATGAGCTAGCTATTTGTCTTACTTTAATCAGTCTCATTCACTTCAACTATTCTGTCAGTCCGTACGATAGATTATAATTTACTTAAAATTGTCAAGAATCAATCTTGTTAAAGAGGGGTGTTTCTATCTTTCATATTCGCTCTTTCTTAGCAAAGAAACCATCTATTTTCTGGACTTTTGGGAGGGAACCCTTTGTTTTTCCTTTTTGATGGACACAAAGAGTATATCATGCAAGCGAAGATTTAGTCAAGCTTTTCTATTTAATTACAAACATGGTTCATTTTAATACATTATCATGATTATTATAGAGGTATAATGATTAATGAAAAGTTATGGGTGTATACATTATCGTTTTATGGTGTATGTTTAATTTTGTCAGAAGTTTGTAATTTTAATATTATGTTTGGTGTTCTTCTTTGTGAAAATTATGGTCCAAATCCAAGTCCAGCATAGGGAAAAGGAGCACGTGTCCGTCCACGTGACAGCCAGCGCCAGCACCAGCCGAAGCCCCATATTTATTAATAAATAAAGTGAACCAATTTCCCAATGGTTGTTGCTTTGCTTTTCAAAATCCAAGATCTTCTCTTTTATCGCTTCCTTATTTTGAATTGAATCCCAATTCCAATTCCCCCATTTCAAAATCGAAAACAATATCTTTTCCACTTCCCCTTAACCTTACAACCCCACTTTAGTTCAGTTCCAGCAGAAAACAAAACACTGTGTGACTGTGGGTGTGATACAGAATGGAGAGAACCAAATCATCGGCAAAACCTCGCCCGTCCACCGCCGATCTGCTCACCTGGTCGGAGGTTCCCCCGCCGGAATCTTCCCCCGTCGTCTCCGCTTCCGCCGCTCGCTCCCACCAGGTACACCCTCTTTCTCTACCCCCATTCTTTAGCTTTGGGGCAGCTTGGTTTTGAGGCTTTTGAATGGTACATTCTCAGCCGTCCGATAGAATCAGCAAAGTGCTCCAGGGAGGTCAGCTCACGGATGAAGAAGCTGAGAGCTTGTTGAAAAAGTAAGATCCATTTCCTCCGTTCTAGAAATTTCCCCAAAAAAATCAGGGATGTGATTGTTGTGATGAAGCTATTACAATGTCTGAGCTGATTTTCCTTAATTTACTTATTTTGTGTTGCTGTTTGTTTGAAATTGAAACCCACAGCTGATCAGATCTCCCAGTTATGTTATTTTTCTTTTTGATTTGTGTTCTGTAGCTGATTTCCTTACTGTTCCTTGTTCTAGCATCTGGAGAACATTTAAGAAACAATTAATTCATATTTATTGCTCTCACACCATACCATTGGTGGAATCTATCTTGTAATATTTCCTTCTTCTGTTCTGTGTTGCTTTACTCATGTTCTGTTTAATTGATGGGCTACAATCCTGTTCCTCAAACAGTCAAACAGTTCATATACGTCATGAGTTATGACCTATTGCTATTTTTTATCTCTAAATTTTCAGTTTTATCGTTTTTACTTTCAGCATTGTTCCTAATAGGCCCATGTCTTTCAAATTTGTGTCACATAGGCCTTAAAGTAAAAAAAAAAAGTCTTATAGTTCTATTAGGCATTTTTGAAGTTGTCTAAATTTAGACAAAAACCACGAAAGGTGAAGGGAACGACTTATAATTTAACCAAATTAAAATTATCCCCCACCATTTTCAGGAAGAATTGTTCAGGGTATAAAATGAAGGAGATGACCGGAAGTGGAATATTTGCAGCTAATGGTGAAGGGGGTACCTCGGAAGCAGATAACAAAACAGGGCTGCGGATGTATCAGGTAAGYAATGATATCATGCCCACTTGGAAATGCATCAAAATTTAGAAGAACCCTTTTTAATTCTTTGAAATCGTTGGATGGTTCCAGCAAACTTTGAACGGAGTTAGCCAAATATCTTTTGCTGCTGAAGAGGGGGTGTCTGCMAAAAAGCCTAGCTCAGTTCCAGAAGTGGCAAAGCAACGTGAGTTAAGTGGAACACTGCAGAGTGAATCTGATGCCAGGAGTAAGAAGCAGATATCAGATGCAAAGAACAAGGAGCTTAGTGGACACGACATCTTCGGAGCTCCTCCTGAAATAACACCGAGATCACTAGCGGCTGCTCGGAGCTTGGAGTCGAAAGAAAGCAAAGACATGGGTGAACCTGCACCTCGGACTCTGAGAACATCAGTTAAAGTTTCAAATGTGAGTTTACTTCTTACCATAACCTCGAATATACTTCTTCTATGATTGTCTTTGTTTTCGCTCTTGTTCGTCTTCGCCGAGGAATTTAAGCTGTTTTTGAATTGTGCACATTTCTTATGAATTAACTTATGTTTTTGTTTACTCTCTGGAGTCAAGGCTGCAGGATTCTTTTTAGCCTTAGCATTGACAAGATTGCTTGCTGTTCATTCACGTCTCTTTTTTGCCTTAGCATTGACAAGATTGCTTGCTGTTCATTCACGTCTCTTTTTTTTTTTATCTCCCTATCTTGATAGTCTTTTTAAACTTGATTGAAACATTGAGCTCAGATGTTGAATCCCCCGCTTGCTGTTCATTCACGTCTCTTTTTTTTTTATCTCCCTATCTTGATAGTCTTTTTAAACTTGATTGAAACATTGAGCTCAGATGTTGAATCCCCCACGTTAATGAATGTTGAAGTGCTTTTTCCAATCTAATTCATCCCATGATTACTTCTTTCCTTTATTCTAGCGAGTTGTTCTAGATTGGGAGTAAATTTCTCTATGTCTTGACTTCATCTCTCATATCCTTGCTTCTGAGCCATAAAAACTCAAAATAAGGTGGCTTGTCCATCTTCACAGCCTGCTGGAGGGCAGAGTAATATCCTGTTCGGTGAAGAACCAGTTATGAAGACAGCTAAGAAACTACACAACCAGAAGTTTCAAGAGTTGACTGGTAACGATATATTTAAAGGAGACGCTCCACCGGGTTCGTCTGAGAAATCACTGAGCTCAGCCAAGCTAAGGGAGATGAGCGGCAACGACATCTTTGCTGACGGGAAGGCAGAATCGAGAGACTACTTCGGAGGAGTTCGTAAACCGCCCGGTGGAGAAAGCTCCATATCCTTGGTTTAATTTTAGTTACTAACTTGCATTGCATTGAAATGTTGGACATTATTGTCAAGATGTGTTTCTACTTGAACTTTTAATGTTATTTTACTGATCAATTGCACTTTGAAGCCTATGACGAAGCCTATCACGAGAGACTTGACTTGGTTAGCCAAAGGTTGCTGTGTGCTCTGTTTAAAATCTCTAGTTTTGATAGTAGGAGTTCCAGGCGTTGACTTGATTGATTGTTGTCTACTTTTCTTTTAACTTTTTGCTTTATGAATAATTCATCTAAATTTTTTTTTTTTTTAAAAGACACTTTTTCTTTGCATTTTCATGAAACGTTTACACCATCTTAGAAATTTATATTTTGACTCTTAGCCTTTGCATGGAGATTTGAGATTTGTTCCGTTCTCTCATTCGAGAGGTAAGAAAGAGATTGTATGAAAATTTGAAGGAAAATATTATATTTTATCCCTGAACTTCGTTGGGTGAGATTTAATATTGAAGCTTGAATTTCATAAAAATAGATTCTAGAAATGAAATTAATAACTTAATAATTGAATTTATACTCTTCTTTAAAGATGTATAACTAGACTTATTATAGTCCTTCAAATCTGCGGTTGGATAAAAGTAGAACTAAAATTAAACTTAATCCACTGCTCAAATTTGGAACATTTGAAAGTTGAAAACAATCTCAAGTTTTGAAGCAAACATATTACACATTTGCAATTAGAATATTATATAATGATTTAAAAGCAAGGTCAAATCAAACAGCAACCAATGTCTGAACCATACGAATCAATAGAACCAAAGAACATGCGAGTGTACGAGTCTTGCTGACTATGAACTACATATATAAAATTTGGATTTACTGATAAAACTTCAAAAGAAAGAAACGACAAAGAAGATTCGTTTAAGGATACTACATTAAACGTACTAAAAAAAAGGATACTACATTAAACACTAACTATTACCCTTATTTTATCATGTCGCTGTAGTAACATTCAGTTACAAACAAGGAAACAAAAACCAAGCCTTAAAAAAAACACTAGCGGGGGAAGGGGAACTTGTGCTACATTTGAACAGTAAAAACCAGATTCCCACTTTCGTCTTCCCGAAAATTTTCACAACTAGTCATCTGTCGAAACATTAAGAGGTACAGTTAGCATAACGAATTAGAGCTTTAGAAGGCAATAAATCATCAAGTTTCAGCTTTGCATTAATGGTGTAATTGATGGTTATCTGGATTGGATTAGAGCGAGAAGTAATTACAATTAAGAAATATATTAACTGAAACAAACAGTAATATGATTTACCTTTTGCCTTGGAGAATGAACTCCATTCTTGATATAAGCATGCCACAAACTAGTATGGGGAACAGTTGCACTATACTACGGCTGCAGCTTTCTCGAGGGTTACTTGAATTTCTTGGGGAGAGTCATTCAGTGCAGTAGCAATTTTAGCATTCAGCTTTTCCTCATATGCAGCTACATGAACACCGAGGGCAGCACGACCAGAGGGATCGAGATTTTTCGACCATGCAGCATCCCATTCCACTGCTTTTGCAGTACTGCATGCCACACTTGGACCTCCTGGGACAGTCGATCTAGCAGCATTCTGTTGTAAATTGAGAAACTAATACATCAGTATTTTGCTTAAATAGAATGAGGAAGCCTGATCAGAAGACTGGGGAAATACACACTCCATTCGTGTCATAAAAACAAAAGAAAACAGCACCTTAGGGAAGAATTTCTCAAATATTGTCCGGTAGTAATATGCTTCTTTTGTAGTAGGAGTGTTTTCTGGGTAGACGAAGTTCGCATTCATCAACATTGCATCAGTCACCTGATGAGGGCAAAGCGGCATTATTTCACCTTACTCCTTAAGCAAAGACAATCTGAATATGTTAAATACAGCAAAAATAGTGAGACAGTTTTGAGATAAAGCTTACTTGTTGCTCCGCGTGGTCCTTCAGACCATCAATCCAACTGTACCCAACACCATCACTGAATTGTTCCTTTTGCCTGTACAATATGTGCTATAAAGCAGGGAGGGGTGGGGCAAATTCAATATTCTTCCTTGGATAAAGAACACATAACGATTCAATGCCTCGGTTAAAAAAGACGAAAGAAACAACTGAAACATGCTAAGCATGGGGTCCATGTCTGATTCAGTGGACACATTGCAAAGACAGAAGCTACCTTGGGCAAATATGGTTCCTTCTCGTCATCAAATGCATTGCGCAAGACCCACTTCTCTATTCTCCCAAGATCACGCCTGATCTGCAGTAAAAAATGTATGGCAAGTAATTAACGTCACAAATTGTCTTCATTGATAATAACAGCTCCAATAGTACTTGTACAAGAGAGCTTTATGATAGAGATGTAATCAGATAGTACAAAATTAATTCAATCACTTAAGAGCTCAAACTTAAGCGAAGACAATTCCCACAATTAGATAACAACAGTTAAGTGACATGAGCTAAAGAATTGAATACCCAAAAAAAGAAAACATGCAAAGGTAAATATTATATTTATCTTATTACCAGAATATTTCTCTTTTGAATGTTCACTACTTTTCCAGAAAATAATAGGACCTAACCTATTGATCACTTACATTTTCTATTTTTTCTATGCAATAAATAGTAAATTGTCCACTGATGAGACACGTTCAACTCAAAAAAAGTAAATAGTGGGGCCAATTCAACATGCTCAAGCTACCAAAATTTTTCATCAAGAATGAAAACTAAAAAAAAAAGTATACCATTTTCCAATCAGGATCCATGCTCATGGCTGTGCTTATAAATTCTTTATCAAGAAAAGGGACACGAGCCTCAACACCCCATGCTGAGGTTGATTTATTGGCCCTCAAACAGTCATATAAGTGAAGAGCTTTAATCTGATATCATCAAAAGAAAATAAATTAGAACAAGTAAAAAAACACTACAGCATGAATAACTGTTCCCATCTATTATCTCAATGTATTGA